GTGTGTGTGTGTGTGTGTGTGTGTGTGTGTGTGTGTGTGTGTGTGTGTGTGTGTGTGTGTGTGTGTGTGTGTGTGTGTGTGTGTGTGTGTGTCGGAAAAGGAGAGCAAAGTCATGGAAAAAAAAAAATCGATTCGGCGGAAAGCAGACACGAGGGTGTGATCGATTACTTTGCTTTGGCATTGGATGTAAAAAGAACTCGATTTCGCTTTTTTTTTCCCCCCTTCTTCACATTGTGTCTCACATTTTGCTCCAGATTTTTTATTTTCACATTTCATTTTTATTTTTATTTTTTTTTAGTCTCACGAGGTGGCATCGGAATCGTACACATATGTTTTTTAATCGGCAAACGTTATTTGTTTATTCCCAATCTGTTTCACGTTTTCCTCCACGTTTTCTTTCTGACATTTGTCTTGTAATCGTATTGCTGCATTTCCGATTTTCGTTTCATGCTACGGTAAAATGCACAATCCACCCACTGGCCTACCTTCTTCCCCCAATACAACGAACAGTCATTATAGCTGTATTTGACGCATCTTTCAGTCTAGATACAGCTAGAATGACCATACGTTGTATTCGGGGGACGAAGGTAGCTCAGTTGGTCCACCCTTGAACTGTTGAAAAATACAGACCTGAGTGCGAACTCCGCCGGATGCAGATGAGTACAAAAAAAAACACTACAATTCTGAAAAATTATCAAAATAACCTAGGGCCGGTGAGGATATCGCCCTTTTTAAAAAAAAAAATAAAAAAAATATATCGTCACAATTTTTCTTTCATTTTTTTCATCACAATTGATTTCACTATTTCCTTCCAGAAGAAAAGGCTTCCATAATATTCGGATTTTACATCAAGTGTTGTTTTATATATCCAGCTTCAGTTTCCGGTTCGCATTGCAGTTCATATGCACTTCAGATCACATACCACCAGGTTTCCATTCCGCATTTCCATGTCAGATTCTGCCATTTTACATTTCCATTTCATATTTGTCCATCCGACACTTCGATTTCAGAATGCCATTTCACATTTCCATTTTCGTTTCCGTTTCACATTTTTCGGTTGGCGTTGCAGTTGATATGATGCACTTCAGATTTTGCATTCCACCACATTTCCATTTCAATCTTGCCATTCCACGTTTCCATGTCATATTTCCATTTCAGATTTCCATTTCAGATTTCCATTCAGATTGCCCTCGCATTGCAGTTGACATGCACTTCAGATTGCATTCCATTCCACATTTCCATTTCAGATGTGCCATCTCCGATTTGCCATTTTACATTTCCATTTCACACTTCCATTTCAGGTTGCCATTTCAGATTGCCATTTCACATCTCCATTTCGTTGCCATTTCACGTTTGCAATTCGAATACAATGTCAAGTTGCATTTTTCCCACATTTGATTCCACACGGCATTTTACACAGCCAACTATGCATTCCATTTCATGATTCGTTGTCCATAACACGAGGGGGGATTAACACACACAGGCACAGATAGATAGATGGATAGATAGATAGATAGATAGATAGATAGATAGATAGATAGATAGATAGATAGAGAGAGAGAGAGAGAGAGAGAGAGAGAGAGAGAGAGAGAGAGAGAGAGAGAGAGAGAGAGAGAAGCCAGGACAATGAACACAATGTCTTCTCCCGCAAGCGACCGATAGGCCAGTATTAAAATGAAAGTATGGAACAGCCTATTGCAGCGAGCCTTGTGCAACACCAATGGTCAGTTTCCTGAAATTTATAATCAGGGAAAGCCAGCTAGCTAGAAGAAGAAGGAGAAGAAGACGAAGACGAAGAAGAAGACGAAGACGAAGACGAAGATGACGAAGAAGAAGAAGAGAAAAGCCAGCCAGCTGATGATGGCGTGACCCTAGGCTGCGTTTTGGCTGGTTGGCAGCTGGTGGTCTCGTTCCATCCCCCGAGCTCAACCGGATCGTTTTTGTTTTTGGGGGGGGTGGGGGTGGGGCGGGGGGAGGAACAACCAGATCGGTTTGATGAAACTGGATAATTACAAAACTGGCTTAACAGAAAAAGGAAAAACGAATGGTCCAGAATCGAGAAATGTTGCAAAATTATAGGAAAAAGGAAAAATGAAAGCGAACCTGGGTTGCAATCGCTCGCACACGATGTGTGTTCTTCTGTTACCTCTCTATGTGCAGTTGTGCTTGAGTGAGGGAATACTCACACCAGCACTTTTTTACTTATTTATGGACGTAATTGAGGTCAGATACATCCAGGTCCGGCCGTAAATGTGGCCAGATTCATTTAAGATACGTCTAGTGTGAGTACGCCCTGAGGTTCGCTCTATGGTTGGTCATGGATCGCGCAGAGAGTAGCTCAATCAGCGAGCACCTAACTCGCTTCCTGCTGAACCCTTCTTGCTGCTTCCTGCGTGCCGGCATCCCAGTTTCTATTGGCTGTTGTCTTGTGTGCTTACACTTGGCACCTCGCTGGATCTACACTTATTCCATGTATCATCTGAGAAGATATCTGCCACCCATTCGATGTTCACGTGTCATCAGACGGGTCCATTTGTTCCACGTATCGTCTGACGAGTCATCTTCCTCGGTCAATAACACCTCACTGTAGGCCAAACATGGCAACTTCGTTTTTCTCCTCCTAGTCCCGTCTACTTCCCGCCTCCTTCTTTCTTCGTCTCCCCCTCTTCTTCTTCTTCGTTCTTCCTCCTTCCTTCTTGTCATCCATTCTTCTTTGTCCTTCGAAGTTGTTTTTCTTCCCTTTGAGAAGAGCTGGAGCACAATCAGCCTTCCTTCTCCTCCTCTTCTCCTCCTTTTCTCCTCCTCCTCTTCTTCCTTCTTCCTTCTTCGCTTCCTTTCTCCTTGCTCTTCCATCGCTCGGAGCCAAAATGCATCGGGGATAATGCACGTGTGAGCATTGGCTATGTCCGTGCAGGTGCTGTAACTCTTAGAAGTATAGCTCGATGTGTAGAAGCGTAGTGTAGCGATCGACCTCGCTATTTCAAATTCCATTCCAGCTTCCAAGTTCAATTCTTTTTCTCCCTTCTTCTTCCTTTCCTCCTTCCTCCTTCCTCCTTCCTCCTCCTTTCGTCCTTCGTCCTTCGTTCTTCTTCTTCTTCTTCTTCTTCTTCTTCTTCTTCTTCTTCTTCTGCTGCTGCTGCTGCTGCTTCTTCTTCTTCTTCTTCTTCTTCTTCTTCTTCTTCTTCGGTTTCTTGTTGTTCTTCTTCTTCCATCTGTGGCTTCATGATGACAGTCCGTGACGTGTCATCCATCACCTTCCTACTGACTTTTTGGTGATTGTATCCATCAACATATTTTGACAACATGGGAAGTCACAATGATTATCCGCGTGTCCACGCTCCAGGTGTTATCTTTTCGACACTCACTTCATGGCTATGGGCCAGATTCATTGCACATGCACATCTTTCCGACCGGCCTTATGACCAACCATGTGCCACGTGACCTCTCTCTGCTGTTCTGTTCTTACTGCTATTTTTGGCCAATTACTTTGCTTGTCATTTTCTTTTTTTTAAATGTCAATCGCAATGGTCTTGAGATATCATCATCGAAATGACCAGCCCCAGGTAATTCTGACGATTCCGAGGAGGATTCAAACACCGGTCTCCTTATCGTCAACTAATCTGTGTACCATTCACTCAAATGAGCTGGGTAGCGGTTATCAATTTGTACGTGGCATATCCCCGTGAACGCCATCGGGTGCTGAGATGTGACAAGTCATCTCTCTCTCTCTCTCTCTCTCTCTCTCTCTCTCTCTCTCTCTCTCTCTCTCTCTCTCTCTCTCTCTCTCTCTCTCTGGTTGACTAGAGTCCTACTATCGCCATGTGGAATTCCATGTCTCAGCGATGTTGCCCCCTTTAACGGACCACTACCTCTCTCGTATATGGGGGCGTGGGCCTCAAAATTCGAA